CTGTATTGATCATATAATCACCATGGAGGTGTTGAACAACGTCCCCAGAACTTCAGACCAACAAAAGCCGTGAACTCAAAATTTAGGAGTGCATTCGACTCAGTCGTTGATCCAATACGTACGAAATAATAGTTCCCATGTAACACGTGAAAATTTTACGCGTCCAGCACTCAAACACCACAGACCGCGTCAGGGTCTATGGTGAACTATAAAATGTCGTCCGGACAACAAGTAACGTTCGCCACGGTTTCCCAATTTTCGCATCTTCAATTTCAGAGTGGACTGCATCATGGAATGGTCCCTTGAATAATCTCATGATACAGGCGTTCATGTTTTGCCTGGTGGAGAACTAGCCGATCTAGAATATACAGACGATATCGTCTTGCAATCAACAATGTTGGGAAGGTCAAGAAAACCATGAATAACCTATCTAACGCAGTCCCATCATTTGATATATGCTTCGCACTTTCGAAGTGCGAAATGTATTTGAATGACCACCAGTAAGTCGATATATCTTTGAGCATGGATAAGTAGGACCCTAAGACAGTTGTTAAATACAAATACTCCAGAAGCCGTCGCAGCAGCACAGCTCAGTGGATTTGCCGATATCGCTACATAACCTTTGAATGAAATGGTCTCTGCCGATTATCATCCCAGCTTATTGAACTACACATCCATACCATAATCTACCGTATCACTCCAACCTCATACATCAGAGACACCAGCAGTAAGTTGATCACGGTTTCCTGTCACTACTAGTGTTGCCCTCAACGCCAGTGCCATCAAGTCACCTACTTCAACTGTGATTCTCATTGCTACTTCGCCGATGCAACGTATGGTGTCCACTTCTACCATTTCTGGGTTTCTGCTCATTAGGTCCGCGATCATTTCGCGCATATTCGGACCTGGAAAGACACTGGACTGCTCATCGCTGCAATTCCTCCGCTTTACTATCCACGATGTTCGGATACAATGATCCACTGTTTAAGTGTGTCTGAGGACTTCTTCCACACGTAGCCTTTCTCAACATCGTCGCCTTACTCATCCCGTCCAGCACATCATAGATCGTTTAGCTCGCCTTCCACTGTATTTGCACTTTTAAGCTACGTTAGAAGACGCTGCATTATTGACTGACGTAGGTGCGTTGCTACATTCTGTTCCTTCTTCTCAGAAGCTTCTGTGTGAGCTTAATCAGTCTTCGCCTACGTGATGGATTGATAGTTCAATCAAATGCTTAAAACATTCCACTACCAAACTTGCTTCGCGTCTGCCGATGAGCGATATCTTGCAACAATCGCCATCTTCCAATGTCCAATTTTACTTCCATCGACCGAGCCCACCGGAAACTCCATCACCGGCACTGTCACACTACGCTCTCCAGCCTTGCTCACGCGGATGGGGACGCCAACCATACACCTTCCACTGGCAACTCCCATGGGCAGTCTGCTTCTCACAAGGTCCAGGGATGCAGATTCAGCGTCTACTTACCGACTTTTCACTCCACTTTAAGGTTTGGACCATGACGATATTTTCCGCGGGAGTATGCTGCCAGCCATTGACGCCACTCCAGTTACAGCTGAAACGGATGACTCCATATCTTTTCAGCGTTGTCAACAGATTCACATAAACTATTACCTTAATCTGCAATGCAGCTAGATGCTTGTGCATCGTCTTTGCTAGATACATTGAAGCGCGCTCCAGAAGAAGGATCGAGATCAATGTATAATGGGCTACTAGATCCGGCCCGTACTTACCTTTTCCCCATGATTTGTGGCTTTGAATAACCACCGACGTCGCCGACTATAGTTTGGACGACATATTCAGCGTTTATACCATTTTCGGTGAGGTGATGCCACCACCACTATTTTGGATTGAAGGTAGTAAACTGCCTACATGCTGGAAGACGAACAGATTCCGGAGTTTACTGATTTCTGGTCGAATGTTCATTCTCAACTTCCTGTACCAGACATCCGTGATCCTCGTCCGCTTCGGGATCCCAATCCAGAGTACGTACGATCGGTGTCCGCTGGTGAAATGCTTTGCCCTCTTCGATGTATTGGAAGGGGCCGCTGTAACCAGTGTCGATCGTACTACTCCGAAACAGCTAGGCCTGATGAACCCAGTATTGTCCCTTTCAAACTGTATTTTCGCATCTTCCCCCTACCCACCCCACATGAAGGTTGCGCGGATTACCTTCGTTTCTAGCTTCCCAATACCTCTTTCCGCAACACTTTTGACCCATAGTTGGGACCTCAGCCTTCATCAGTCTACTTCACGGCATTCTCTTCGGCAGAGGGGTTTCATCTGACCCTGATGAACGTCTTTAGTTTGGATTTGTTCGCAAAAATGGCTATTTCGAGGCACCGGCTATTTTTCACACCGAGCTTCATTCCAATGCAAAGCTTACACCGTTGTCCTTCGCTGTAAATAACTCAAAAGAGTTTGGCTTCATGTCCTACGGTCCTTCACTTCGATCTGCACCCTCTTATGGTACTCCATCCTTTTATGGAGTATTCTCTCTTTCCTATTATGCCTCCGCTGTTTCCACTTCGACGGCATAGGCATTCGCGCATGGATGAATGTCCGGCAGGGCGACCCACTTCTCCCATGGCGCACTACCATGACATTGGACGAAGAACTTCATAAGCTTGCATCATCGCAGTGGCACTGTTCCCCGGCCCTATAGATTACGTGGCTTATGCTGACGATGTGATCATAGCTGACCGAAGTCAGGCGGCCTTGGTGGATCAGCTCACAATGCTTCAAGAACAATTTCTACTCATCTGACTATCCATTCGACAACTGAAGTCGAATATACTCAATATTATCATCAACTGTACAAGAAAAACTGTCGTGACCACATTATCATTCCCGTGTTCCTCAATCAGGTTGCAAAAGCATCCTCTGCTTGCCAAGCCCTGACTGCGTCAACTTGATTGCTATCGCTTCGGGTATCCTTAGGAGGCGTTTCCTAAGCCTCTTTGAAGATCACTTTAATACTGTGTAGAAAAGGGTGAAATCATCGAAGGGTCGGAATTTCGTGTACACTTTGAACCAGACGTGCAAAGATGGAACTCACGGTTCCGATAATACCTTTTTGCGGCGCCGCGGGACAGTGCTCAGCCTGGTCGTATGTCCGAAGTAGTTTGCACCACCGGTGCAAGTAAAATGATATACCACATACGATTCAGACTTGACCAGGAATCTGTTTTAAGGCGCTGAGCAATATATGGAGTTGGCTCCACAAGAAAGTGCGGATTAGTGGTTGGGTCACGGTGGCGGAAAGGCTCCTATTCAGATGGTCGAAAACGATATCACTATTACAGGGAACCGTGAGAAACACATCCTTTATGGGACTGTGATGACAGGTTAATTGCGTTCACGAATTGAAGCATACTTTTTGCTAAATGAGGCAAGGTAACCGTTTGAAAGCAGCATTTCAAATATGCATCCTTTCTGGTGATTTTGAACAACCGCGGATTTATTATTCCTGTTCTAGAGAGACATTACAAGTCCCCAGGTCTTTCAGGTTCTGACATTTCGGATCTGTGTCCCCACTCAGGGTGTATGACACGTAGATGCGAAGAGCCATCTCTCTACAACTTACACATAACACACAAACACTGTGGCCTGCTTAATTTGTGATTCTGACCGGTACACAAACTACTTTCTTTTAGACTACTGTCTCCGTATTCTGCCGGAACACTGTCATACCTTAACAAATTACTGTAAGCTATGCACATAAATTGTCAAAAATAAATGTCAATAGTTCAAGTACTGCGAGAGCATGATCAGCCTACTTAAACCTGCGATATTTGTGGTTTCGAAATATAGTTTCCCTCGGCCTGAAAGACTGTGGGCAAAGGGCCACAGTGAGGGTCGTCCTACTCTATGGTTGTGAGACTTGGCACCGTTGGTCTAAGGCGCCTACAACTATCATCGCTGTCTACGGAGCAATACTGGTGTTGGATGACATCAGTGTGTCCGCAACGATAATGTGAGTACGCGAGCACTAGGCGGCGATAAACAGGCTAATTCCCTAAATCAATAATTAGCACTAAGTTTTGGTTGGCTTGGGCACGTGCTCCGCTCTGGGTGTTTGGTTACCGCTTATCGAGGAGGACCTTGTTGTGTTTGCCGGATGTAGGATATTGAAAAGCTCAAGGGGTCACAAATTGTCTCGGTAGCGGGAAAATAAACCACCGAGTGCTAAACTGGGTGCTATTGGTTCGCCTCGCCTTGCCGGTTAGATTTCATGCGATTCATCTTGTGGATAACTCAAGACGTTACAGGCCATGGAGTTAAGTCGACATCAGTGGCGTGTTTGTAGTCGTCTAGCCTGGCTAACTGTTTAAAATGAGTTTGGTGCTGAGTTATCTGTGAGGTAATGACTGATTATGGCGCAAGACAGTGAGGGCCGAAAGGAAGCTGTTTCGCTGATACCCCCTATCTTCGCACGACAGTCAGCTGCTTGTAACTAAATTGTCGATAAGGTGTAGGTGACTTGCTTGGGACACAGATTTTATGCTAGATTTCTCTTCGTTCACTTTATTATTCTCTGTTCTGCAGGTCATTGTGGTTGCGTGGCAGTGATGCACCAGCACAACTGGTGGATGTACTACTGCTGCTGTTGCTGGCTGTTGTTGTAGAGGCGATCGTAGATAAAGGATTCCGTCTAGGCACGGTGGAGGACGTTCGCATGCTTTAAGGTTTGTGTCCAAAGCGTTCGCATCACAGTGTGCCATCAGCTTATAAACATACCGTGGTCGATTAGCCAAAAAGCAAACAATAATGGTCTGTACTTATAGGCAAGCACGTGAAGTGAACGGCGAAAGGCCCTTTTCGATTAAATGTGTTGTTAGTACTTAGATTTTCATGTGACCGGACCAAGTTGACAAAATAATCGGCCAATGAGGCGAAACGTGGCAACATTGTTAGCTGCTATAGCGCATTTAAGAAAGAAAGAAAAAGATATGAAGCGTTAACCGTGTAACACTTACCAGCTTCTTTCCCGCATTGATGGGGCCCAGGAAAATGCCATTCTTTGTGAAGAATAGGCAATTCGTAACAAAGTTGACGCCGCAACCAATCACATCAGCCTCACCAAACGTAGGCGCACTCATAGTCAGATCCTGAGCGCCATGATATATGTTCCCATTGTTGCTGTGGTATCCGTAAGATTGTGATTCCATCCCTGAAACATAGCGGATGAGGTATGCATGAACTCGTCTCAAATGGATGACGAGCAAAATACTAGCAAACTGGTAGAAATACGAAGTACCTTGACAGCACGTGGAGAGATATAAGGGAATGTGCATTACGCACTCGAAGCGCGAAGAAATCAGGCAGGCGCTCTCCCAAGAGGAATGGTTTCCGATAAAAAGGCCTGACAGCCATCGCACGTAAACAGGAGTGGGTAAATTAAGACAATAGGACAACTAAACGCGTTCATCATGATGGACCATAGGCATATGCTTACAACGGAGATCAGTATTTCCCAGAGTTCAGCGGATCGGAAACAAAAAAGTACGAAAACCTGAGTAAACACAAGTAGAATGATAGGAGCTCGCTTGTAACGCTGCAGCAAGTCCGCATAAAGGTGGAAACTGCAAACATGTGAGTAGACGGGATGGACTCGATATTCGTGCGACACAGTGAGGACGCGCGACAAAAAGCAATTGTTCGTGATCATTCATCCCCGGAAGAGTACAAAATAGCGCAAACGGTTGAGACACTGACTGAAAGGACAAGTACAAACCATGCAATTCACGTTTGATGCGTGCTATGTTGCAGTGTACCAAATGCCTTATGCTGCACTGATGGGGCACTACTAGCGATCCAACTGTGTGATTTCATAGCCATAAAATCTGGAGACAACAGCAAAATGTGAATCGCTCCAGTAATGGCAAAGAAACATAAATTGTGATCGAGGTTGTATGGTCAATCGGCTATACCTATTTGTAGGTGAGACAGTGTGATTTGGTGCTGAGACATCTCACCGAAAAGCACAGTGGACACAATGGCCCAAAAGCACTAGTTAAATAACGAGTAGTTAGTGTCCAACGCGACTGCCCTTAGTTGTAAAGGAGGATGAATCATACTGAATAGGATTATCAATCAACTGACTGTCAGGATACGCGCGATAACTTTTACCAAAAGGATTCAAAGTCGACTCAAATTTGAATAACTGAACCAATGAAGAAAACAGCCTAAGAGAGGATGTAGGAGTCGACCGAAGAGCAAGGAAATTTAAATCTGTACAAGTCAAGCACAATATAATCAAAAATGTTATAAAAAAGTATCCGCCATCCGTGATAACCGAAAGATTTTACAAGTTCTTAGGTAGCTTTAAAAATGTCTGGCAGTTTTACTAGGCTCACAAATGTCAGATGTCAATGCTAGTACACAATTGTTCTTCGAATTGAATGGCGATGAAATGTAAATCCAACTGCCGCACAGATTTGGCCTCCACGATTTGTACTGGAGCAATCGTTTTATATCCTGCATCACAAGCTTGCACCGGTGTCCGCATGTGGTGCATGGCCTCAAGATGGGTATCACCGAGATGTATTATGCGGCAGGTCACGAGGAGATTGACTCGCACCCGACGATAGGACAAGGTGTAGAGTTCACATTTTTCGCAACAGTCTTCGTATGGGAATATTCGTAAACTCAGACAGAGACTGGCGGCGATGCGTTGGACCCGTACAATCTTCTGAGCTTGGACTCAGGTGATTATATGTTTGCAGGGCAAGACGTACTCCGGTATGGGTAGTATGATGGAAGAGAAGAGGCGAGTGGCGACCTCCTTAGACCAAGTACAACAGCTGCATTTGAGCGCCCAAAGCATGCACAGTCCATTCCGATAGTCTTAGAGGTATCAGTTGGACATCAATGGTGTAAGTTCGGCCATCGTCACCCCTCCCCAGGGACATGGAATACCGACTTGATTGGGTTGACCTAGAGACGGACTTCCGCAGACCACATGGAGAGGCGTCGGCCGGCGGTCGAATGTCGGCCGGTGGCCTGCACGTTTGGTTCGCAACCATAAGGTCACCGGTTCGAATCCGCGTAGGGGTGGGCGTCCTAACGGTATACTCAGCCCGCGAGCGACTGGTGGTGGTCGCGCGGGAGCGAAGCGCAGTTACGGCGAACAGCTGACACATTATTTATTATTTATTACATGGAATGGCGGTTGAGGTCTTGTTAAAGTAGGCCGCAGTCGTCTCAGGTGCTAAACACTCTCCAAATCTTCAAGCCATCTGCAAACAGAACACGTGGCGACAGAAGAAGCTTAGATAGATCGATGTTGTAGAGTACGAACAGAATGGGGTCCCACACCGTGCTTTGGGGTACACCACTAGTAGAGTGATATCAGTCAGTTAGATGGCCGTCGACCCGCCACTTTCGTCTAACGAAAAGGTTCTGGATCCACTGGAGCAGTTACCCACCAACACCGGACACTCTCAGTTTGCGGAAGAGGACTCCATAGTTTACCTTGTCAAACGTTGTACTGAAGTCTATGTAGATAACGCCCGAAGAATTCCCATGGTTCACCGCCTGCAATCATACTTGCCTCGTCACGAGAAGGCTGGTAATGCGGCAGCATGGAACAGTGCTGTATGAGAAACATTACGTTTGTTGACTGGAATAACTGTATTATACCCTACTTCACGATCTTCTCGGCAACCATGACCAAAATAGGCGCCAGACGAACCAGTTTGTAGTGATCTACTTTTCTAGGGTAACTGCCTTTTCTGAATCGGTTGTACCAATGAGTATTTCCAGTCGTTTGGCAATGAACCTTCAGACAGTGACCTTTCGAACAAGTCAGTCATAGCAAGTGAAATGATGGCCGATAAGGAGTTGAGAATCAGCGGTTGGAATCGGTCATGGCCAGCAGGTTTGGTGCGGTCAAGGTTGGCGTGTAGTCGACGCACAGCAAATCAAACAGTTGAGTTCGGTAAGCGCGGTGCACATCAAACTCGATACAGACACCTGGTCATCTGTAAACGCGGAAAAGAAGTGCGCCGCCAACGCGTATGCACGTTCAGCGCTCGAGACTGGCTGTCCGTCAGAGCCCTCTAGTAATGGCAGGTCATCTGCCGGTTTGACGCGCCACTTCACGTAAGGAAGGGTTCTCTTCGGCAAGAAATTTGCGGCGGTTGCGAGCCGTTGTTCGAAACGCCGGTGCTTGCTCGTTTTTGTACTATTGCAAATGCTTCGCTGCCTCTTATAAGTCTCGCAGTCATTGGGAGAGTCGGAGAATACTGAGTACTGAATACTGAGAATAGAGAGCGAGATGATAAAGATTTGTGTTGCTCCATCGCAGGTGGATCGGGCACATGCGCAGAATCACGTCGCTGATTCCTGCGCGGTGGCAGCATAGTGCAGGTGCACTACATATTATCCGGGTGCGATACGCTCCCTATACCTTTATACTGAGAAGTGGGTGTCAAGGAATCGCTTAAATTCCGACACCGGTTTCGCCTCGAGTAGCGTCTCCGGCAATTTGTTCCAATGTTTCACCACTCGACGCTCGAAGCATAGAGGGTGAGTGATGCGCTTTAAATCCGATACCCTTAGTTTGTACAGGTGTCTGCGTGTGCTGCTTGATGCGCGAACGTGCAGCAGCGGCTTCAACATAAGGAAGTGACCTAGGTGCAGTATCCGGTGCGTCATAACGATATCAACTCGAAGCCGACGATATATCAGGGCATAAAGCCTTAGTCTCCTACATCGGTCCTCGTTCGACATACCCCGTAAACTGGGGATGAGCCGGGTAGTTACATGCTGAACCTGTTTCAATCTCTGCACCTCACCTATTGTGATCGGGCAATAGGCGGGTGAGCCGTACTCAAGCACCAGTCTTATTATGGAAGAGTACAGACGGGTGGCAATCTCTTCAGACCAAGTGCAGAAGCTGCGTCTAAGTGCCCAAGGCAGGCGTAATCTGTTTGCGTACAGTGTTCGTGTTGTCGATAGATCACAGCGTGACAGTACGCTTAGATCCTTTACGGAACTGGGGGGATGCAGCGGGTAGCCGGCCAGGGTGTACATACGCCCATTGCTACCCCTTCCCATGTTCATGAACGAGGACTTGGACGTGTTGACCGGTAGGTCAAGTTCTGCAGAAGACCGGGATAGGCAGTAGAGGTCCTGCTGAAGGATGTCACAGTCGCCAGAAGAATTAATAATTCACCAAATCTTCAGGCCATGCGCAAACGATACGCAGGGCGACCGAAGAAGCTGAGGTACTTCGATGATGATGATCAGGAATAAATGGATCCAGTACTGTGCCTTGGGGTATGCCGCTACTAGACGGGTACCATTTCGTTAAATGGTCATCCACGCGAACCCGCCATCTTCTCCCACCATCTTCTCCTGGTGCAGTGCACCACCAACACCACACACCCTCAGCCTGCGCAGCAGGACCTGATGGTTCACTTTATCGAGCTTTACTTGTAGGCTCACGCGGCTTCTCGGCTGTTAGTGATTGCACAGGCATGCCAGCTGAGGCTCCAGCAACGGGTGGACATCGCTCTGGAGAGCCAACAGCCGGTGGGCTAGTGGGATCGCTCGAACATAGAGGTGGCTGGGTTTCCGCTTGCTTGGATGAATCCACGGAGCTCCTCTCTATGGAACGTTTCGCCAGTCATGTAGGCTCGCGCGGCTTCTCGGCTGTTTGTGACTGCACAGTGGCTTGGCATTTCTTGCACAATATTTCGACAGTCATGTTGGATTTCACGCAGTAGTATAAAATGATCTAAAGACGAACCAATACACGGAATGTGGAAATTCATATTACACATGAGGAATGTAACGGCATTGGTTCCATGCCTAACTATTTTGCAACAAGTGCTATAGCTTTGTCATTACTGATAGCAGATGTGACGGTAAAGGAGATAAAGTGAACGATAAGTACACGATAAGAGTACCAGAGTAAAGTATACGGACACGAAATTAATACATAATAAGCAAATGCGGAATCAAAAAATAAACTGAATTTGACAAAAATGAACAGGAAAAATCTGTTCTGCACAAAGTAATGAACGATGCAAACTGGCCTGTCAAATAGAACGAGAAAAGCCGGCCGGCGAGCGCTATTCGCGCCGCCGCAGAGCTATCGAACCATACTCTTTGTCCAACCAATGCGACTTGACTGATCCAAGTTTCTGACACTTCGATGGTA